CTAATTTCCCATTGGCCTTTACCAATCATGGCCTCCTAGTAATCCCTGTCTTTGAATTAGCTTTATCACTCAGTTCTGTAAGGGTAAACTATCCCTTAATATCCAGTATGCACAAGTCATTTCCTGTGTACCTTACAGTGGTACTAGTCCTTTTTTAACATTAATGAGCTTATTTATCCTGTGAAAGTACAAGTCTATGAGATACTTTTTTGTGTTACCAAACAGATTGTATCATTTGCGTAGTAAGTGATTACTAGGGATCATTTTAAAGAGTTTATTAGTTCACACCAAGTTTATATGATAATTTGCCATAGGGTATCTAAGAATTTTCTAAGTAGTTATATTTCTCACAGAAGGCATTCCTGATATACTGTGATTATTATGGACAGCAGTATTACTTCCTTGTAACATGATTCCATCATTTTCTGAGTCAGGGTCCTTCGGATGAGATGAGATGTTGATTGTCCCAGCTAAAAAAATAGTTGTCACTAAAAATCCCAGATATTTGGGATCAGCAGCACAGTATTTGTTTGCTGCTTCCTACACACAGGACATTGGTTTCTGGTGATACTGTTTCTGTTTCTTCATCTGTCAGTGAATGTCTTATCAAACCAGTCGGTTCCAAATGTCATTTTACAAAAAAACTGAGAATGTATAACATCAGGACAGGGAGCAATGGGATGGACCACAGCCACAACTTTTTTACAGTATCTGTGACTTCCATCCTTTAAACTGTACTGTACTGTGTTAATACCATGGTGCTTATTGCATGGTACATACTTCTAAAGATTGCTGGAATTAGAAATGATGGTTTGTCATAGTGGATACCTGCTGAACTCACAGGAAATGACACTGAGATAAAAAGATGTACTGTAACATTTCATAAGGACAATAAAGGTTAGAACAATCAGTTTCAGGCTTTTCTGGAGTACTGTAGCAGTGTTATGACATATGTCATATGACATACTGTATGTTATTTCCCAAATCGCTTTATTAATAAACAGGAGCCTACCCAGCAAGCAACAAGCACAAGGCAGGGTCACCCTGGACAGGGTGCCAGTCCATCACAGGGCAAGTGCAAGCCAATACATGGGGACAACTTAGAGCCCGCAGTAAAGGCAGGGGGGGGGGAATTTAGCCCGGACACCAGGATAACTCCCTTCTCTTATGGAGAAATGTCTGGGGATCTTTAATGACAACTGAGAATCAGGACCTCCGTTTAACGACTCATCCGAAAGACAGTGCCCACTACAGTATAGTGTCCCCACCACTGAACCAGGGCATTAGGACCCACATAGATCACAGGGCGGGCACCCTCTGCTGGTCCTACTAATACCTCATCCAGCAGCAACTATACCTTCCCAGGAGGTCTCT